ATGCACATCAGAGGAAAGGCACACTTGCTCTCTGATATTATCTAAAAGAAAGGGATAATGAAAGGAAGAGCCACGTCTGTTTTAAACAATTTTTTTGTCAACACTAGCAATGATTTTTCTATTGTCTGGGCGCTTAAGTACTAGATGCCGTTACTGATAAACTGGGCATTTGTTTTTGTCACTCCAAGAAAGAGTTCTGAAATACTACTTGATCTACTGTCGTTGTACAGTATCTTTTCTTCTTTTTTTTTTAATCCCAAGCAGTTCACTGTTGACAGTTCTTTTCACTCTTTGCTGAATATCGGAACATATGATTGCATCAAGCTGGCTGCAGGCTCCGGTGCTGACATTTTCTAGCGCAAAGAATGCCCACATCACTCGAACATTTGAAAAGTGTTAATGAGCAGATCAAAAGGACTGTTGCCTGAAGCAGCTAACTTTTTTTTTTTTTTAAAGAAATCGGCTCTCCTCCAAACTGAAATCTTCATTCTAGCAGCTAAGTAGATGAGATGTAATCCTCCCTGATGATGATAATAACAAACGAGAAAAAAAAAAAAGTTGGAGGAGAATCAAACTCTGCATATGGTTCATAAAGTGGTGAAAGTGTTTTCCAGAATCTTCAACACAGAGCTGAAGGATGCTAAGTGGAAAAAATTCTGGCAACTAGGCAATATTATGCCTTTTAAAATCTGCAAATTCTCATAAAATATGGTGCATATGAATACATCCTTTTCTGAAATGAATGTGTTCTTGCACTATTAATACAATTATGGGATTCTCATGACTGTTATTTATAAAGTATTTGGACTAACAGTAAGGTTCTTCTGCACTAGTTTTACTGAAATATAGAGATATCATTTGGACACAGATTTTTGCTATGTTTGGCTTTTAGGCCAAATGCCGTCAGATTATTTTTACCCTCTTTTGTACTTAAGAGGCTATGTGGTAGAGTGGAAAAGGGAGCATTTCCATATGTCACAGAAGACCCATTTTATTTCCTGTTCCGGTGTTTCTAGGACAGTGATGTTAGGTATTATGAATCAATGTTATGTCGCCATAAAATGGGGGTGATAACTTCAGTCTTTCACAGTTACCATAAGGTTTAGTACCTTTCTCTCTCCCTCCCTCTCTCTTTCTCTCTCTCTCCTCCTAATCCATCCATCCATCCATCCATCCATCCATCCATCCATCCATCCATCCATCCATCCATCTATCCATCCATCCATCCATCATAACAAGTAATGTAACAACTACTCAACAAATCTTTGGTCCTTTCTTCTGCACCTTTCCATTGGCAATCCAAACCTTGATTTAAGGGACATTGTTATAGAAGTTCAACTCATAGATTGGAAGTAGATGAAGCTTGGACATGGGTTTTAATCCTAATTCTAATTTTTCACTTTATTATCCTTAGCAAGTTGTTGAAGATACAGCCTCCCTCTCTGTATAGCTAAAATGAAGCATAGTGACTGCTCAGGAATATTTAGAATGTGTGGCATATGTCAGCACCAATAAAATGTGGTTATTGTGAATAGTAATTACGGCACAGACAGGAACCTTAGCTCTGGTTCAGTTTCTAAAGGTGCAGTTATTTTTGAGGTGTTGATTGTGTCTTTTAATTTATCCAATCAGTATTTGAGTTAGTGGAGTGTTAAGGGCTTTTTTCCCCACTATTAATAGTACAGAAAAATATTTGCCAGAATTTCAAAATCAATTTAAATTTATAATAAGTCATACATAAGATTAATTACACATTATTGGAAAAACAAACCCTAATGTTCTTTTCTGGAATAAGGTGAATATAAATGCATCTAGACATATGGCCTACTTAATTATGGAAAGGCACAGAAGCAAAAGAAGGAAATATTGTGATGTATTTTTTTAACATTCTATTATAATTTTCATATTGGAAAGCACTACAATTAATTCCAGATGAAGAACTTAGGGTGGTCTTCCATTTCCCCTTCTGCTGTTGAGTTCATTAGGTCTTTGAATTTATTGGTTGAAAGAGAAATTTAATTTTCTTTGGAACTAACAATATTTTAGTGTCATGGAAATCTATCTCTGTTTATCATATATATATGGCATTCAAACAGGATATGTGTGTGTGTGTGTGTGTATCTCCGCTCAATATTTCCCCTCAATATTTTCCTTATAAATATAGAGGTTGGCCTTAGTGAACATTCTCATCTAGTCCCCGAATCTTCCTTTTCCTGAATTTTAATCATATTTTTAGTACCTCCTGTTTTCAGAGCACTTTAGGCACTGGCAGTATTTATAAAGGAGGAGAAATGATTTTTGTCCTTAAGAAATCTATACTCTTAAGGGGTAATTGAAAAATTCCAAAATAAATTTATAAATCTAAGTAATGAAGCATGAATAGTTCAGCTGCAACAACATACACTTTTAGAAGCTAGAAAGCTTCCAGATTGAGCAATAGAAATTTCGTGGACTAGTCTTTGAAGTTGGATGGAACTTGATATGGATATGGTCACTTATTAGGGGGAAGCAAAGAGATCTTTGTTGGCCTGGAATGGAAATATGTGTTTGCAGCTAGAATGTTAGAACAGAGTTACACCATGCTGAGGCATATAAAGTGTGAGAACAGAAGAGCTGGTTCATGTAGATACTTGGAAAAAGGAGTTTTGGTTTTCCAGGTTGTGGCTGATGATATTGAAAAAAAGGGTCTCCAACAAAGATAAAGCATGCAAAATGCCACTCATTATTCTGTTACGAGTTTGTCTGTTCTGGTCATAGGAGGATTTTAAAGTGAACCACAATTTGTCCATATCCAAGTTAAAACCAGATGCAATGCAAATGTGACATCAGAGAGGGAAGGTGCATGCTTTGTAATTCTTAGGAGGATGTAATATAGAATGGAGTTGGGCATATGACTTATGTCCTCAGAAATGTATGTAACAGTGCACAATATACAGGTAATAAGCAGAGTGAACTTGAAATCCTCACAAGGAAATGAAAATGAGTAAAGATACATTATTGTCTCACAGAAATAATCATATAAAATTTCATAAAAGAATGTGTTGTGTAATGATTCCCAAGAAAGAATCTTGACTAAAAAGTTGGTTTATCTCGAGGAAAGGGTAGGGAAAGAGTTATGTTAGTCATGTCATTCAGAGGAGGTTAACTTTTGTATTGTCAATTTTTGAAAAAGTCAATGAGTCATACATAGCAAGAAGAGTTTGCTGGTAAATTCCTTCTCTATTTGAGGGGACATACCCTAATCTAATAGAAAATGTTTGCATTTTGACATTATAAGAACCATTTAGTGCAACTTTATGCAAGTGTTTGACAATTTCTGTTCTTGATGAATGAAGATAATAATTATCTATATATATATGTGTAGATAATAGATATATAATGCAGATAAAGTGAATGAATGTGTGCAAAGGGGATTTGTGAATTGTGAGGTGCTGTTGTGCTAACAATCAACTTACAATGTAGTGTTTTTGAACAATAATTTACTGTCCTCTTAGTTCTGTGACTAGACTGGCTCAGCTAGAAGATTTGTACTCTGAGGTTTCCTCATGTAATTGCAGCACCTGGCTGCTGGCTGGAGTTATCTGAAAGTTCAACAGATCTCAATATCCAGGAGCAAATCTTTTCTCACATGTCTGGAACCTTTGCTGGGAAGGTTGACACATCTGGGAGATGGCCAGGCACCCTTTCTGTAAGGTTATCCTGGGTTTCTTCAGGTTTCTTTTTTTTTTGCTATTTTTTAAAATATTTTATTTTATATAATTCTTACATCATTTTTCATTTTTGCACAATGTATGCATTTTCATTTTGGTTATATTCCCCATACAATTCCCACCCCTCGTATTTTGGCCCTAATCCCTCCTCTCCACCCCTACCCCCCGGAGTGTGTCTCTGGTTTATAGTTACTTGTGGATTTTGATTTTTTCTTTACTATAATTTGTCTTTTTCGTGGTCCCTTATTTAAGTTTTCTAAATTCCTGCTATGAGTGAGACCATCCAGCATTTTTCCTTTCTGGCTTATTTTGCTGAGCATGATCCCTTCCAGCTCCATCCATGTTGCAGCAAATGGCATGAGTTTATCTTTTTTGATTGCTGAGTAATATTCCATTGTGTATATGTACCACATCTTCTTGATCCAGTCATCTATTTTTGGGTATTTGGGTTGTTTCCAAAGCTTAGCTATTGTAAATAGTGCTGTTATAAACATTAGGGTGCAGGTGCCCTTTTGAATTAATGTTTCTGTGTCCTTTGGGTAAATACCTAGGAGTGGTATTACTGGATCATATGGAAGCTCTATCTTTAGTAGCTTAAGGAATCTCCACACAGCTTTCCATAGTAGTTGGGCCAGTTTGCACTCCCACCAGCAATGCAGGAGAGTTCATTTTTCTCCACAACCTCGCCAACATTTGTTGTTGCTAGTTTTTTTAATATGTGCCATTCTTACTGGTGTAAGGTGGTATCTCATTGTAGTTTTGATTTGCATTTCCCCAATTATAATTGACATTGAACATTTTTTTCATACACCTGTTGGCCATTTGCATTTCCTCTTTGGAGAAGTTTCTTTTTAGCTCCTCTGCCCATTTTTTGTTTTTGTTGAGTCTCGTCAGCTCTTTGCAGATTTTTGTGATCAGTCCTTTATCATTAGTGTTGTGTGCAAAAATTTTCTCCCTGTCAGTGGGGTTTCTCTTTGTTTTGGTTATTGTCTCTTTTGCTGTACAAAAGCTCCTTAATTTGATGTTTCTTCAGTTGTTAATGGTCTCAGGGTAACCCACTGACAGGACAGCAGACTCCTCCCACTCAGTGAGTGTTCTAAGAGCATTGGGGAGGGAGAAGCCTCTTTTTGACTTGGCAGCTGAGGCAGTCACATGGTGCCATTTCCATCTCTGGCTAGTTAGTCAGGAGCTAGTTATAGGCAAGCACGTATTCAAAGGGAGGGGCTTATGTATGTCTCTATCTTATGCAACTGGAATTTACATTTGATTTTGGCTTTTTTTTTTGGACAGGTTATCAAGGATCCTCCTCCACCACCACCCCCTGCACCAAAAGAGGTAAATGAGTATCTAATAATTGATGTGGTTATTTTTCCTATATGTAGAGATTATTTCCAAATTTAATCAGCTACTTGTATTATATCATATATTATATAATGTGATATAATGTGATATATGATAAATTTTTTCAATTATAATACTTACGTATTGATTTTTGAATTTGAAAAAAAGCAGATTTTTTTTTTTAATCGTATGATTTTTTTTCATGTGGCAGAGGAATGGGACCTTCACACCTTGATAAACATATATAGGCCATCAGGATCTTTGCACACAGTGATTTAATTGGCCATTTATATCAATTGTTCTGATGTCACTATTTTATTTTTTGAAAGGTGGAAGACATAAGCTGACAATTGAAACATAAATTGTTGAATTTGAAAGGATCATTACTTCTATATGATTCTCCTTGTTAGTCAAAATTGTGTTAGGGACAAAAAATATAGAATGTACCGGTTTTGTGTATTTTTGAAGCGTCTCAACCGCATGGGTTTTTAGTACAAATTTTTCAGTGTTCAAACTTATACATGCATTGGTGCTTTAAATGAATATTGAAATGATATCATAATTTTAATTTTTTATCTTTTAAAATATGAAGTGCTGAATAAGTTTGGAATACAATGATATAGAGAGTTATGGAGAAGTATCTGGTAGCTTAGTGAAAGAAAGGAGATCATTAAAATTGTAAAAGGGAAGGAGTCCTCCTATTCTGTAGAATTCCACTTGAAATGTATGTGTGTAAGCTTAAAAATGTTCACATACTCTGCATATAATTATCATGACATTTCTTCTATATCAACTGCATTCTTCAGAAAAATGTTTAAATGAGTGCCAGCTAAGACTAAGCAACATTTTGAAATTTTAATTATACTCATGAAAAAATTATATCTACCTAGGAGGAAGAAGAACCTTTGCCTAACAAGAAATGGCCAACTGTGGATGCTTCCTATTATGGTGGTCGCGGAGTTGGAGGAATTAAAAGAATGGAGGTTGGTAAAGAAAAAATAGAAGCTGCTAATGTGCAATATTTATTTCTGAAACTATAAAACCATGGAAACTCTACTTTTCACAATTCAATATCATTCTTTTCACTTAGCACTGGGTCTTTTCTGTATAACTCACTTTTCTATGGGATCATCCAGCTGTTTCAGAAAAGTTCAAGAACTGATTTCATTAGTCAGAGAATTGCATTGGTAAGATGCCTGAATTCAAAGGAACAAAACAAAGTTAGGTTTTCTCACTATTTTTGGAAAAAATTACTGCAGAGAACATCAATTTTAAAGAAGCCAGTCACTTGAAGTTGCCACAATGCTTGTCTTTAAAAGATCAATGTACTATTTGAGGAGAAAAATGTTAAACTATTCAATGATATGGAAATGACTTTATCACAAATGTGAGGCTTCTTTTTTGTAACTCTCGTTACCACTTTGTGAATGATCCTAATTAATAGCAAATATCATTTATAGAATGTATTGAATTTTTAAACTGGCACACAGTGTATATTAAAATTGATCTTCATTTTATCTTAAAATTCAAATGAGGATTTATTTATAACCACAGAAATGTTTTTGAAAGTGATGGATTGATTAATAATAACTAATCATTGTCAGCATGAAAGCCTTATCAGTAGTATAAACAAGCTCTCCCCAAGAGGCATTGTAGGAATTTTCTCATTGAGCTTTTGAACACATATCCTGGCATTTCCTCTTTGTTAAGTTATCGTTTAATTTTACTTCTTGATAAGAAGGAGTTTTGATGTGTTTTGCAATCATTGCACAGTCTCCTACTGTCATGTCTGCTCTGTCCCATTACTGCCAGCAAAAATCAATAAGCTAATTAACAACCTCACAACTGTTGAGATTTTCTCTTTTTATACATTTCAATAAAAATTCAGACTCCCAAGGAGAGTTTCCTTTCTTACAGTAAATTTCAGTGTTCTTCAAAGGAGGGCCAGACCTATTTAACATGATTATCCTTAGCAAAATGATGATTCAAGTCATCTTATACTGATTCTCACTATGTTGACCACATTAAATGTTAAAATTATTCACATTTTCTCTAAGAACTTCCCACTTGATTCATGAAATATCCTCAGAGATAGGTATCTCCTTGCCAATAAACCATGGAAAAGGCAGGTGCTAAAGACTATTAAGTTTGTCTTTTTGAGAAGGTATTGCATATGCCTTTGCATGTGGGTTATGGTGATCACACAGTACACAGGAGCACAGCCAGGATAACTCTTTTTGTTTGACACAGAAGGAAGTTTCATTCAGCTTGCCTTTGCTGTGTCATTCAAGGCTTGAATGTGTGGATTAGATGTTCCTATGAATGAAAAAAAAATAACATTTGTAAATAAAATTGTTATATATGAATATCTAAACATGATCTGCTATAATTTAAGTTTTGTTTGTTTAGCCTCCTTCCAATATGTTTGCATAAAAATGCATGTAAGGGAAAAAGCCATTTGACAAGATTTACAAAATGTTAGTAGTGTTCTCTTAATAGAGGGATTTTCAATGCTGTGCATTTATCTGTTTTTTTTTCCCCCAATTTATTTGCCAATGAGCATATACTACTTATATTTAGAATAATAAATTTAATTCCATTTTGAAATCCATATATGTAATATATCACATGCCATCAGTAAGATAAGAATATGCTAGTATGTGAGCCTTAAATGAATAAATAATATTTTCACAGAAAGCACTAGGAATCATGCCAGGTTTTTGTTAGTTCAATATTCCAGCATCAGAAGAGGAAGATCTCTTTCTAAAGCAAAGAAAAACATATGTATGAACTCCTGGATCTTGAGTTAAAAGAAACATTAGTGGTTCATTCTCAGGAAAATCAAGGACTCATGTGTGTATTCTTAAGTAACTCACATTTCAAGTTCAAAAGTTATTGACTCGGGCCTCCCCGGTGGCGCAGCGGTTGAGCTCTGGGTTGCGAAGCTGCGCGCGGCCTCTGTGGCGCCGGTTCGATCCCCAGCTGCTCCCCGGACACCGGAGGAGGGTCCCGCATGGCGCGCAGACCTCTCCTGCCGCCCGCTGCTCCCCTCAGCAGTGTACTTCGGTCCTTCTGCCTGCTCTGCTCCCCGCTCTGGCTCTGGTGAATTCTCTCACCCTCCCGCGCTTCTGACTGTACCCAGTGCATGTATAAAAACAAAACAAACAAACAAACCAGCAAACAAATAAATAAAAAGCATGCCTCTATTAAAAAAACAAACAAACAAAAAAAAAAACACAAAAGTTATTGACTCAATATGTTAAATTACATTGCCAATTGAAGAAATTTTATGAAAAGCACTCACCAACTTTTAAAAATTGGGGTTCATTTTAGCCTTGGATAATTTTGGGATGGGAATGAGAAAATAAAAAGAGAAAATTAGTGTGGGTGTTACAAAAGAGAAACACAATACATAAAAATATACAATAAAAGTTGGACTGGGAATTAAGCATTGTTAAATTTTCCCAAACATGAATTTATTTAAACTTGGAGAAGAAAAATAGGAAACAAAATCTGTTTTAAAACCATGCCTATTCAAACCTGGAAAGTACTTCCCTTAAAAAAATAACTTCAACTGGGGAAAGGAAAAGGAATATAGAAAAGATGAGCTCATTTGAATTACAGAGCAATTTTCATAACTAATGTTATTGTTAGCCAGCACAGCGATTGTACCTGGAATTATCTTCTTACTTCCCCTTTAAGTTAAATATTTAAGCACTATGGTAATGGTAATTTCACAAAACTGGAACAGAACTGATGTTAATAACAGCTGTTAGCACAACTGATCCACAATACCTAATGATTTCAAATGGGTGTTTCTGCCAATTCAGTGTAAAACTGTTTTTGTTTCTTTTCTTAACTCTGAAATTGCTCCTTGATGATACAACCTCCTAGTCATCCAAATACACTTCAGAAATTATGGATTTCCTCATTTATTATGAAATCCAAGTAGAGTTGGAAGAATATAGCTCTTAAGCTTGTGCAGATTTTTATTTTTTATGGTAAAAAATCCAGGTGTGTTACTTCTGTGAAGCTTTCTTTTAGTAATGTATTCTTGTTACCCTTTCACCCTTTTTGAATATCTCAGTGAGGTCAACCTGAAGTATGAATATGCATACATGTATGTTTAATTGTTTTTAAGAGGGGTAGGAAAACTATATGGTATCTCCTAGTTTTAAGCTTTTTTTTCCTGGACTGTAGAAGAGTTTATTTTCTCATTCATATTAAGTAATTTAATTTTTTTTCTTACATCATTCTACTCCTCATAGTTCTTCTACCACTAAGCACCGGTGAACCATCACCATATTCCTTTGTGTTTGTCCCTCCCCTGTTTTCCTACTTTTAAACTTTGAGATTAAGTGACAGTTTTTGTTATGTAGTTTGTGGTGATGGTGATGATGATAAAACAACTACTTCATGAACTAACATTAATGGATTTATTGAATGAATTTCCTTTAGAACCAGCAACAATATTTGGGGTCCCCAAAATGTTACATTGGGTCAGCATCCTGTTTCAACTAGTTCTGAGTCTTTTATCTGGGAATGGTGCCAGTGATAATTAGAGGAAGGATATACTTACTTATACTGCTAAGGCATCAACTGGGAAGGCTAGGTAGAAAGTTTTATATGCATATATATATATATATATATATATATATACACATACATATAGCTGTATACATATAGATATAAAAATCATAGGGTCAAGTTTTTAAAATTTATATATATATTTTATATCATTGTTCATTTTTGTACAATGTATGCTTGTATGATTTCTCCTTTCCGATGTAGTCCCTGTAAAATTCCCACCACAAATTCACCCCGTGCAGCATCACCACAGTCCCTTGTGCTCTCCTCTCCCCTGTTTTGATGCCTCTACATCTCCCTTCCTTGCAGAAGTCTCTGATTTATAGTTGCCTGCTAATTTTGTTTTTATTTATTTATTATTATTGCTACTTTTTTCTGATCCCTTATTTGGTTCCCTTACATTTTTCCTATAAGTGAAACCATTCTATATTTTTCTTTTTCCTTCTGGCTTCTTTCTTTCTTTTTTAAAAAAAGATTTATTTGTTTGTTTGTTTATACAAGCACTGGGTACAGTCAGAAGTATGGGAGGGTGAGAGAATTCACCAGAGCCAGAGCACGCCATGTGGGACCCTTGCCATTGGCCGGAGATCAAACCAGCGCTGCAGAGGCTGCGGGCAGCTTCGCAGCCCAGCGTTCAACCCCCGCGCCCCCAGGGGAGGCCCACCTTCTGGCTTATTTCACTGAGCATAATACCTTCCAGCTCCATCCATGTTGCTGTGAATGGCATGAGTTTATCTTTTTTGATTGCTGAATAGTATTCCATTTTATATATATACCACATCTTCTTGATCCAGTCATCTATTTTGGGGCATTTGGGTTGTTTCCATATCTTACGTATTTCAAATAGTGCTGCAGTAAACATAGGGTGCAGGTATCCTTTTGAATTACTGTTTTTGTATCTCTTGGGTAGATTCTTAGGAGTGGAATTGCTGGGTCATATGGTATCTCCATTTTCAGTAGTTTGAGGAACCTCCAGACAGCTTTTCATAGTGGTTAGCATGCACCAGTTTGCATTCCCACCAGCAGTGTAGGAGAGTTCCTTTTTTTATAGGGTCAAGTTTTATATAAATACACACACACACATCCCTTCAATTCTGATACACATACACACACATACACACAAAGAGACAAATATATCTTCAATTTTAACTTCTGAATGTTCTACATTTTATCTATTGATTTTTTCTATTCTGAATTCTATGAGTTTTGACATTCATTTGTTTAATGTGAGGGGGCTGAGTCTTTTGTTTTTCTTCATTCAGATTTTCCCTTTAACTGAGACTTTAGGACTGCAAGAATGCTTTTAGAGTTTTCAGTTCAATTTAGCTGCATCTGAAGATTATATAATTTTAGTTTACCTAGGTGATGGCACTGTGATTTGAAAGAGAAGGTCATTTCTCTGGAATGAAAGCCAGCTCTCTAACTCTAAAGGTTTAATGGCTTTTGAAACAATTTTAATAACCCCATAAAAAACATTCTAATACCACTGATCACATAGAAAGGCACAGATACATTTTAATTACTCAACAGGGTCCACTTGTAATTGAAAACCTATTCTAAAATAGTAGTAAAAAAAGGTAAAAACATCTAAGTAAGCCTTAACAAAAAGCTGTGACTAGTTCTTCTTTCTATGAACACTAATCATCTGCTCTCTTACATACTAACTTAGGGCATTAAAATGCTTTAAAGTGTATTTATTTTTTTTTTCTTTCATAAAAGGCATTTAACTTTGGTGAGTCATAGTATGCTCTGGTTGGACCTTCATTTTCTTTCTAGAGATTCTCTTATTTTTCTTGTCCTTGGTAATGTCCTTGGTTTTTCTACAACTTTTCTACTGCTTCCTAGTTGGACACAGCCTTTCTTCAGGGGCCACATCCTACTCACATGCCCACACATTATAATTTGGCTTAGATTTGGATATTAGTTCTTGTTTATTGAAAAGTAAACAATCATTTGACATTATGATTTTCAATGTCCATGGTTTCCCAGGAGGGAATTCCCTAAAGTTTGTAGAATTCCCTCTTGATGCTGAATTTTTCTCTTCAAAGCAGACTGTTCAGATTTGCCTTCCTCAACGAAAAATTGATAAGTCAAATAACCATACTCAAATGAGAATAGGAACTAAATATTGAAAGCTTCTTTACAAAGTCAAGCTTTACAAAAGTATTTTTTTTTTTTTTACTTCCAAAGGGTCAATATTTACATCATGCTTTTTGCCTTAGTCAAACTTAATGAAAAGATTGGAATGAAGATTTAACTCTTTGTGTAAAATACATCTGTAAAATTCAAATTCAAGCCTACTTATTAACCTATTCCAGACTGCCTATCTTTAAATCCCCATCCTGCTACTTACTGTGTGGTTTTTGCTTGCCATGTATTGTCTCTGTGCCTCAATCATCTGAAAGGAAAAATATCTCTCATTTTGTTTTTGTATAGGTTTTGAAATGATAGTAATCATTTAGTAAATAATTATATTCTCTCTCTCCTAGAAGCATCAGTATCTAGAGGTATGTAGTCATATAGAAGGTTAACATCTTAGAGAGTAGAATGACATACTGTTATGCATTTCATGTGTAAACCAAAAATTAATCCCTTATTTGAAATGAGAACTAGTTGCTTCCAATTTCATTGGGATCTTAGTATTTAAAATATAACTAGGGGTGAGAAATCTATTAACACTCAGAAAAGAAGCACTTGGTAATCCCTGCTCATCCTACTTTTATTCTGCAATGGTGAACTAAAAGATCATTGTCTAATAATTAGTGATGAGGAACATTTTCTCATATGTCAGCAGACCATATGCATGTGTTCTTTGGAGAAATGCCTGTTAGTTCTTCTACCTATTTTTTGATTGGGTTCTTTTCTTTTTATTGAGTTGTATAAGTTCATTGTACATCTTTGATATCAATTTCTTATCAGATATCTGGTATGCATATATTTTCTTCCATTCAGTAGAGTTACTCTTTGTTTTGGTTAGTGTCTCTTTTGCTGCACATTAGCTTTTCAGTTTAATACAGGCAAATCAAAACCACCAGGAGATACCTCCTCACACCTGTGAGAATGGCCCATATCAAAAAACCAGAAACAAGTGCTGGTGAGGGTGTGGAGAAAAAGGAACTTTATTACACTGTTGGTGGGAATGTAAACTTGTCCAGCCCCTATGGAAAGAAGTGTAGTGATTCCTCCAACGACCAAAAATGGATCTACCATACCCCTCATACACATCTGTCCAAAGAGCACAAAAATACTAATTCAGAAGGAAACCTACAGTCCTATTTTTATAGCAGCACTGTTTACAGTAGCCAAGATTTAGGAACAACCTAAATGCCCCAGAGCAGATGAGTGGATCAAGAAGATGTGGTATACATGCACAATGGAATACTGCTCAGCAACCAAAAAAGACAAGCTCATGCCATTTGCAGCAACTTGGATAGAACTAGAAGGGATTATTCTAAGTGAAGTGAGCCAGAAAGAGAAAGATAAATACTGATATTTTCACTTATATGTGGAAATTAGAGAAGCCAAGGAATCAGACAGAGACAAACTTTAAGACTGACCCTTGAAAGCAGACTATAGATCCAAGACATTCAGGAGGGTAGGGGTTGTCGGAGGGATATGAGGAGAATAGAAAACAGGGACCACAATAGACTATGATGGAGGACTGTGGGTGCTTTGGTGGTGAGAAAACTGTGGTGACCACAAGTGAGGGGGAAAAAATCCTGTATTGTGAAAAAATAAACAATGATTTTTTTTTTTTTTAAAGGACCATTGTCTAAATGTCTAAATGACAGCTTGTTCATCTAGGACACTATTCAACAGTATTTCCACTTTGTTTTAAAGGTTCGTTGGGGTGATAAAGGATCTACTGAGGAAGGTGCAAGACTGGAGAAAGCGAAAAATGCTGTTGTAACAATTCCTGAAGAAGAAGATGTACCTGTCAGGCCTAAACCACCTCGACCTAGACCCATACAGCCTCCTCAGACGAAGTGGTACACACCAATTAAGGTAATTGTCCAAATTGTGTGATTTGACTGAAACTTCCTAGAGAAACTGTGACTTTTTTAGTATACTCTCCCCCCAACTATTTAAGGAGGAACAAGATACATCATAGCTGACATTCATTTTATTCTAACAAATGGATACTTTCTTGGCAACAATAGCCTCATTTTTGTGATTTGTGTATTTGTTTAATTTATGAAAGAAATGAGAGTAGAGTAAGACTTTAACTTCTTCAGTTTAACTCACTTATTCAGCAAATAGAGTGTGGGCTACGTTACCCCAGGAACTGACCAGTCTCCTTTCTCTGCAGGGTCGTCTTGATGCACTCTGGGCTTTGTTGCGGCGACAGTACGACCGGGTTTCCTTGATGAGGCCTCAGGAAGGAGATGAGGTTTGTATGTGGGGATGTGTTGGGAAAGAGCTGACTATTTGGATCAGCATAATAAGGGTGGTGAAATAATGAAGGAAAATTTAAGGGGCTCACTATACTTGAGGTGTATTATTATTGTCTCATGAAAATTTCTTATTACTCAGGGTGATTCATAAATTATTAGCTATTATTAATACATCTTCAAGTTGTGACTTGACACAAGTCCCTTTTTAAATAATGCATAAAAAATTTTTTGTATACATACTTAAATAAGGACAATCGTTTGCTTCATCCTTGGACTTGGGGACATCATGTTCTGAGAATTTCCACAGTGCGAGGACAGACTGGGTATTAGAAGTAAAATCTTTCTAGCATTTAGTAACAATGAGATGTGGGAACATGTTTCAGAACCTCCATTTCTTTAGGTGTAAATTACCATTGTCTTGCTTCTAACAGCTTTTCTCATTTGACTATATGAAAGTATTTTGAAAGTTATAAAGCATTGTTGAACTTTGCAATGGTGAGATAAACATACACAAACACATAGGTATGTATAAAAATATGTACATAAACATATATATTGTATAGGTTTTCACTACCAAGGAAGCCTATTTTGAGACAGTTTTATATTTGGAAATTTGAATAGTACTTTAAACCCTAATACTATAGTTTTATGATTTCTTTAATATATTTTCACTATTTCTTATTGTATTAATATAAAAAAAATGGTTTAAAACCTTTTCATATGTAACAATGGGCAGGTTTGCTTCAGAGGCACGTACTGTTATTAATAACAAAATTCTTTCATTGTATGTCAGTGGCATCATCGTTCTGTTTTGACAAGCATGTGAACTACATTCACTTCTGGTTCAGAGGACATTAGGTGTGTTTAGAGTTGACACTTATTTTTATAAAAGGATGAAATAGTTGATGAAATCAATGTTTATTTTAAAGTGCCAAGCTAAGTTATAATTAATGTTATATGATTCAAAGTTTGTTTTTCAAACATAACAACTTTTACATTCTAGGATTTTACTTCTATGAGATAGATATAATTTTAAAAACATCTGAGTTTCATTAACCACTTAGGAAATCCACTTTGAGAAAATATTCCCAGTAGATCATTTACCCTTTGGTAGGACCATAAGTAGAGAGAACAAGGTGGTTCATGAAACAACCTCTTATCACCAAACCTCTAGAAAGTTCTTGTATTTAATGAAACTTGTACCTCTTTAAATTCATGATCTGGAATTCTGTTTCTGGAACAATACATAACAGATTTATTCTTCCATGTACTTGAATTTTACTTTACATGTTTTAAAAGTTTTTCATGTATCATCTTAGTTTTTCTTTCCTCCCAGTTAGGCATTATGTCACTTGTTTAATCATTATCACCCTTTAAAGTGCTGTACCAGTATAATGCTAGAGCTAATGATTCATTAGCCAGCCAAATCAGACAGTGGTCCCATTACTGTTGCCAATATTGTAAATATTCTTTTAACTCTCATGATTAAAAATTAGCTTTTAGACTTGCATTTCCTGCTGCTGAGCTGAAAACACAGATTAGGAAACAGGCAGAATTTTTTATAATTTTATTTTCAGGTGTATAGATAATCATTTTGCTTTTTCCAAGTGTGATCAGAGTCATTTTGATATCTAGCAAGACAAATAAATATATAATTTACTTTTCAAGGCAAAAAAAATTAGCTTTTAATCTTTAATCACTCCTACTAATTTTGATTTAATTTGATAATTTTTGTATTATAAATATACAAAAGTTATTTATCAGGTAATACTAAGTAGTGGTTACAAATTATCCCTTAAGATGTCTAAAATTTGTTTGGGCACCAAGATATACAAAAATACTATTTATTCCAGATGTCATCTGGGCCATACTATAGGTAGGTATTGGGTATTCTTAACTATATAGAGGAAGAGAGATAAACTCTTTCTGTAGGAATTTGGGAATATTCCTTCAAAATATATAGAATATATAAATATATAATATATAAAATAATATATAAAATATATTTTATATATAAAATATATTTTATATTAGAAAATGGCTAGGATTTTATCAGGTACAATTAGTTTGAATGAGTATTTCCAGTGATGAAGCATCATGAACAAAGTGAGGTAGCCAAGAGTAGTGATTTGTGAATTGTTGGGTGGTCTACAGTTTGAGGGTTAAAACCAGTATGATAGGTTGGGAGTAGAAGAAATCTTTGAGTTTGGATAAACTTATATATATATATTTTTTTTAATGATGTATTATACTCATTCATTCATTTATTCAACAAATATCTATTAGTATCTAATGTGTACCAAATACTGTGTTAGATACCAAATGAATTTAACATTCTCCCTAAATTGAACTACTAGAATATTCCACATGCTGTCATGTCAGGTTAATCATTATTTATTTTTCCATGACTGAAAAGTAATGCTTTCATTATTTTGCCCAAGATTTCCTTTGTATTTTAGTGATTTGGTTACACTTTTGTCTAACAGGGTCCCAAAGCCTTTTATTCTAATTCTTGAGGTTAAATTGTTCCAAAATTCAAAATTTTCAGATTTTAAGAATCTGATATAGTTTATATATCATCTATTACATAAAACAGTACTTCATAATCTCATAATTGAGGCATTCTGCTGCAGAAACATTAAAATTACTACAAGTGGATAAATGTAGATGACATACTAGAACACATCAGGTCAGTCTTTGCTTCTACATAAGTTTTGGTGAAATATTTAGTACAAAGCTTTCAGTTTTCAAATATTTTTTATTTCAAAATACAACAGATCTTGATATTGTGTGATTCACTGAAACTCCAGTTTATCCATTCTACCCCTATCGATGCTATTTGTGATTTCTTTGTTTTTGCTCAAATGCAGGCCTTTAGGTTTATTAAATATCAATTGTTGGCTCAATTAATTGATATGCTTTTCCATCAAATATTCAGTATGGTTCTATGTATGCCCGATTAAGTCCGATTTAGTCTTTCTCTATCATGTCTGTTCTTGATAGCTTTACTTTTTTAACATTTTGTCACCAGCAAATTTTTGCCTGTTATTTAATGCCACTGTAAAGACCTCATTGTGGCAATCCATGAGAGCCTTTCCCCAGGACTGGCATTCCACAGTTAACTAACAATAGTGTGGTAAAGCTAGAAACCCATCCAAGTATACAATGTCAGTTTATCATCTCAATAAATTTAATAAGTTTTGTTAAATTATTTCCAGAATTTAAGGTATGAGCTTATATACTGCACCATCCAAACAAACCAGTGATGCAAAAGTATTTGATTATGGAAATCAGAGAGGTGTGGTTTGCTCTTCTATTTCTGTTTCTTACTCGTGATCCTTTATAATATTTATTATTTTTTTAAACTGGTGTTTGATGTTAAGTCAATAGTTATCAACATATAGCCCTTTTCCTTTAGATAACTTGAGAAATCTTTGCCCTTCCTCTTTTTAAATTTTTTTTTTAAAAAAATTTATTTATACAAGCACCGGGGTACAGGCCAGAGAGAGGCATAGGAGGGTGAGAGAATTCACTGGAGACAGAGCAGGAAGCAGAACAGGCAGAAGGACCAAAATACACTGCTGAGAGGAGCAGCAGGCAAGACAGGAGAGGTCGGCCATGCCATGTACAAATCTCCCTGACTGGCCGGGAATCGAACTGGCATTGTACAGCTTCACAGCGCTGCACTCAACCTGTTGTGCCACCGGGAAGGCCTTGTTCCTTTTTTTTTATTTTCCATCTTTCCCATTTTCACAGTTTCACAGACTATTAAGAATACTTGAGTTTCTGTCAACTCCTCATCAACCTGGTCTCTGTACTGAAAGAATTTCAATATAAGTTTCCCACATCACACACACATACATAATTATAACTGGTATTTTTCCCAACATTAAATTACAGACTCACAGGGCCTCCCTGGTGGTGCAGGGGGTTAAGACACAACCATTGAAGCTATCCGCAGTCTCTGCGTATGAGTTTGATCCCCCGGCTGGCCAGGGAGCTATCCACATGGCGCAGTAGACCTCTCCTGTCTCACCCGTTGCTCCCCTCAGCAGTGTATTTCAGTCAGTCTGTCTGTTCTTTTCCACATTCTGTTTCATCCTCTCACCCCCCTACCCCCACATCTCTGGCCTGTATCCCAGCTCTTGTATGCATAAATAAATAAATCTTGAAAAAAAATTATAGACTTACACAGCAAGAATCATTCCAGCATTTTAGCAGAATTAGTGTTCTGTGTATTATTAGGACAACTGCAGAGTCCCTATGTTTTTTAAATGTAAACAAATGTTTACATTATGTTTTAGGAAATCATCATACTTCCTAAAGTATGCTACATGGTCTCTATAGTGTTTTCCTTCCATATCCCCTCCCCTTTTCTCTCCTTTCCTTTTTCCCCTTTCTCTTTTTCTTTCCTTCTATCCACCCTATTTCCCTCTTTATTTATTCTCAAACACACTTAGCCCCACTATGATTTCACTTTTAGGTTTGCAACTTTCTTATACCAGTTTATATATTCTAATAATACTACGCAACCTTTCTTTTTTGCTTCTTTCGCGTGAATGAAGCCTTTAAATTGTTCTATTTTTACCCTCCTGAGCACAATAAATATTGTTATTGACAAGGTTAACCATGTGACTCTATGATACTTGTGCCAAAAAAGAATCTGTACCAATCCTGGGATACTTAATCATAGCGAATATTTTGTTGGGTTTTATTTAGAAGTCTTTACAATAACTGATATAAACTATGCCCTATTATTTTAAAAAGTAATATTTAATTATTTATCTAAGTAAAACCACAATTGCATGGTGCAGTGGCATAATTAGTATTGAGATCCTAATATCCCATAAATTTTATTTCTATTTTATATAAAAAAGAACACAATATTTCTTAGAATCCAATACCTTTTGCTTTAGAGTATCTTTTATTTGAGAAACTTAAAATAATTTACCAAGTAAGAAAATGAGGTCCCAGAGGCAAAAAGAGAATCAGGGAT